CTATATTAAATGTCGGTATTTTTAAAAATTTAAATCGATCAGTAATAAAAATCACGTGAAAGTGAAAATTTCAGTGGCGATACTGGGGTAGCTACGATGGACAAGCATAAAAGAAACTTTTTTTTTAAAAAAAAAAAACCAGTTAGAACAAGCGATTATATATGATCGGTGTTTACACAGCCCCTAAAATTTAGGGGATAAATGAGGGCACCAAATTTTTTTCCTATAAATAAATGCGTTTTTTTTAATCAGTTTGATCTTGTTATTATTTATATTTCGCGTTCAGTATATTTGTTTTTGCGTTTTATCTTAAACCAGAATGTCGATACCCACATTATCAAATTCACTATCAACACCTACAATTTCATCTGAATCACACGCGAATGTTTACGATGACGATTGCGACATCATATTTAGTTCGATTCCATCGTATGACAGTAGTAGTCGGACAACATTAAATGATGAACAAGATGACATAACAATAGAAGATGACGATATGAACAACCATTGCAATCATGGACTAATGGATGTAGATATTCATAGTGATGTTACTTTAGATGAGTATCAACCTTCAGCAAAAGGTGACCCAATGGAGAGTGATTACGCGTGGGCAGCATTTATTCCACTTAACAATGAAACACGAGCAAATGTAGGACCCCTTTACATAACGGGAAATTATACAATATTTGGCAACAGAACTAATGATGAAACGGTATCAATTTTTACTATTTTATGAATATCCTTCATGACTATAAAATCCTACATATTCATCGCATCTAGTGTTCGATTCCTTACTTTTTCGTGTAATATATTCATTGGCATAACATCTTAGTATTACTTGCTCATGACTTCTCTCTGCTTGCTGGATTTTTCAGATCTAATAAGAATTTTCATTACTTAATAATTTTAAGATCTGACCATTGTATGCTGTTTTCTTGTAGTATTATTATATTCCGAGTCAACATGTCATACATTTTGTCGTCTCTAGAGTAAGTTTTTTCTTATCTAATTAAATAATATTTATATAATACTAATTAAGACCTTTTTTTAGGATTCTGAGCATGGCGTCGAAGTAACAAATTTGAGGCTAATATTATATTTAAATTTATTGACATTCTAGTTCCGTGGTTATTTAAAATTAAATTTTTATAATTTGTTTAATTTCTTAGTGATATGAGCCTTCATATAGCCAAATTGTCTATGACAGAAAATCACAAGACCACGAGTAAAAAATCAATTAAGATGACAGAAATTCGTAAAAGTGACAGAGCCGGACTTCCATATAATTCACATTTTTATGTAGACTTAATTGGCTTTAAAGCTAAATGTAAGTAATACATGATCCTTTATGTATTAATTTAAAGCAATGACTGAATTTTTTTTATCCAAATAATAGTTATCTTTATCAAAGTGAAACGAAGAAATTGTGATTGTGATAAAACTTTTGTAAGCATAAAAGTTATATAAATTTAAATAAAAAAATAATTTTACTAATTCACATCCCTTTAGGATCTGTTACAAAGTCAAGAAGATAATATTTTACAACGTCTTGCTGCTCTACGAACAAATTCGATATCCACCCAATTTAGTGATGTATCATCTAACAGTTTCGTTTCAATCGAATCTGCAACTTCAACCACACCACAAACAATGACATCAATATTAGATCGTCTTGGCACTACATCTGAATCAACCACTCCCATTTATTTTTATTCTGGGGCTTTTTTAACAGCACCACATGAACCTTGGCAATGTCACAACCATTTCGTATTTTGTGAATTACTTGGATTGTGAGTAAAGATTCGAATTAACTCTCTACATAATAATTGACAGCTTTTAAACATTGAATTTATTTTTATTTTATTTACTTGTTATTATTATTATTACTATATGTATATTTAGCGGTGGATACGGTAGAGTTTATCATGTAGTTAGCATATCTACTGGAATGGAATATGCTTTAAAAGAAAACCGTGATCGAAAAAGTACACTAGAATGGGAAGCAAAAATAATGAACGATATTGGAAAACATGATCACATTATAAATTTCTATAATGCATTTGGATACGTTGGCAAACCTAATCAGTATATTTTAATGGAACTGTAAGCTTTGATTTATGCTTATATTATTAATAATACAGTAAATGGACATTCATGTCATACATTATTATTGTTATTGTTAGCTGCGTGTTTGGTTCTATCCAGGATATAGTAGCTGGTGGTAGATTTAAATTTGATCCCGAAAATATCTTAACCCTTATGTATCAGATGGTATCTGCGCTGGATGTGAGTTAAATTTTTTGTGTTTAATCAAAAAGTTTAATTACATTGTTTAATAGATTTTATATAGCAGATTCACAGTGCAGGTGTGATCCATTTGGATATCAAACCAGAGAACATTCTAGTCTCATCCCGTGAGCCACTTTATTTTAAAATTTCTGACTTTGGACTTTCTGCTTACGTGACAGATAAACCGACAGAATGTTATGGAACCTTGAATTACAGTAAGTATTATATGCTCATTTATTTAATTAAAGACCATGACGAAAAAATTAACATGTATAGTATAGTGAGCCCAGAAGTTATCGAAGATGGTGTAGAATATGATATTAAAGCAGATTGGTGGTCGCTAGGAGTAACTGTTGCTGAGTGTATGTTGGGTTTTAACCCATTTAATGACAACCTCAAAGCGAGACATGAGGATGACATGATGTGGCAGCAGCAAGTGAACAAAAATATTTGTGAAGAAATAGAGGCTGGAAAAGCCGAATGGTTAAAAGAACTTTCTTTTGAAGGTTTTATCAAATTTTGGTTTCTGTTAATTTACCACAACCAATATCGCAATTTAACTATTATTTTATTTTTAGTAAAAGAATTCATTTTGAACGTTATAAAGTATAACCCTTGTGACAGGACTTGGTTTTCTTATTAAAGGGTTTACATATGCAATATTCCCTTGAAATCAAATGTTTAATGAGGTAATTGATGTTTTTTAAATACGTATTAGAATTTGAAAATATACATACATGCATTAAAAAAATGCTTGAAGTCATATACTGATCAATTAGACAGGTTTATCTACATGTATATCATTAGTTTTAAGATGGCCTATTCTTTCATCCTGAGGATTTCATTCTTTATTTCAGCTGTTAAAATTTTCTTGATTTCACTTTTTAGTATGAATGATTCCAAAAGATGTTCATATCGAATGCATTTATTCAATGACGAATATTAAATGGTCATGATTGATCGTTAATATGAATCGCTAATTTCATAATCAAGTTCATTCAAAGAAAATAGTTAAAGATCTTTAATAAGTGTTAGGATGTATAAAAGAAAGTTTGACCGTTAAATACCCGTAAACATATATGCGCGCTATTTTAACATAACGTACGTATGTACTTAGACGAGTCGTGCAATATTTGAAAAATAAATCGGATCTTTTGATCGTTCCGGATTACACATCGTATATTCCTTGAACAGATGTGCGGATGCTGCACAGAAAAATTACCATTTTATAACTAATGTACATATTTGCAAACAGCTACTTGTAGTTTTTCTTTATTTTCCACACAGAAGCTTCCAAACCTCGTGGCATCCACCCCTTTTATCCATACACAAATATGCGATCATTCGTTCGAATTATACGCAGTTCTGCGAATCGCAAGAACGTATTAGACGATTTATTAGGAAAAAACCTCGTCAGAAAAAGAATTTAAAAAGCAGTCAAATATCATGAAAATTTTTCCAACATGAGTTTGGATGTTATAAAGTATGTGAGAGGAGATGTACATAATGTTGGATGTTTGTTTTATCGGAATCGGAGTAAAAAAATGAGGTTTATCGGAAGCTAAAAATAATATTCACATCCATAAAATTTATTATTATGATCAATTATTTTGGCCTTGGTCAAAGCATATACTTAGTTTTATTCGTGCTGTTTCCAATGTGTGAATGACAATAGAAATGTATTAAAATAAAATATATTTAGAAACCTAAATATTTTATTAACTTATCCATTCTGTGGAAATTAAATCCAACGTGAATAAATAACGTTAGTTAAGACTAAACATTTATTCACACAATGGTTCAAGTTTAAGGATTGAACCCGTATTCGAGTTACCCGGGTTACCCACGGGTAGGCCGTGTAGATTCTGCTACCCTGGTAAAAAAAAGTAAATATCAAATACGAATATTTTCTATACGTATAATGTGCCATTTATTATGTATTCAACCAATCAAATCGGATAATTGATACTTACCCGGGTATGCTAACAATTAACCGACAGGTAACCCGAATTGGGTTTTTTAAACAGGTTCAATCACTAGGTTCAAGTATCAAAGCTCGAGTCGAAGACCTGAGCACTTGTTTAATCCATATAAAGAACATTTTAAAACTTTTAATTTATCCAATTTTTTGTTTATAATTTTATATCTTACAAGTTTTCGAAGTATATTCTTTTATACATGAGATTTATGCAATAAAAGTAAATTGATAGTGTGATTATGTTAATAATATGCTAGTAGTCTTCAATTAAATCTTTTATCACATTTTTTTTACTATGTCTTGGTTCTTGAACAATGGTAATAAAATTAATTTATAATTATTACAAAAATATTTGGTCAGTTTTTTTTATAATATTTACAAGTCAAATTTCAAATCTTACAATGATTTTTAATATTTTTTTAAAACCAATAATGTTTTATTTGTTACTTCTTTTAACTATTAGATCTTTATTACTTTGTAATTTAAATATCTTTGATATTATTTTAATTTTATTTAATTACTTTACCATTAAAATTATAATATGTTGCAAATGTTCAAACTATAAAGTAAATAAAAATAATTTTTTTTTTAAATATCTTTTGTTCAAATTTTATAAAATATATACAAAGAATCAACCCAAATAATTATTCTATTATGTTTAATCTTTAGTAGTTTTTTGGTATTAATAATATGGGGGTGTCAATAGAAACCAAGCAAATTGTTTTTAAGTAAATTTTTTTTAAAGTTTAAAGTAAAATATCTCAACAATTATTAAACCAAACTTGATAAAAATTTTTTTATTTTAATTTATATAGTTATATAATTAAAAGGAAAAAAAATTCACCAAAATTGATTTAATAGTTGTTGAGATATTTTAATTTAAAATTTAAAAAAAACTCACTAAAAACAATTTGCTTGGTTTCTATTGACACCTTCTATATGTTTAAAAAAAAACTAAATTATCTTTTTTAGTTTTAATTATATATAAAAGTGTTTATAATAAAAGATAATTTTAGAGTATAATAATTTAGTGTAGTAAATAAGTTGTTAACCTTCAAGTGGCAGATTTAGGATTCAAATTTTATTTATAATAAAATTTAGAATTATACTTGTGTTATAACAAATTGTCTCTTAAGAATCAATTGGATTGATATATTCATAATTTTAAGTTGCATTATTTTAAATAGAAACTTGGAGTATCTATATAAAATATATCATTATATGTATATAAAGGAATGTTTACTAGAAACAGCAAAAAAATAGGCTGATATATATCAATTATTAACTATAACAGATATATATTGATAGTAATCCTCTCTGTTGGGTTATATTGATTAAGATATATATTGATATATATCTATTACAATAGAAAATCAATAAAAAATGATTTAATATAATATCGATATTTATCAAATATATTTAGTACTATTAACTTTATACCAATAACTATGGTAATACTAACTTTTAACAAATTTTAAAATAATTATTAATTTATATATATAACATTTATTTATTAAATATTATAGCAATAAGCAATAGATAATATATGCAATAAGCAATACATAATATACAAAATATTAAAAAAAAATGATACATAAAAAAAAATACATAAAAAAATATATATAAAAAATACATAAAAAAAATCATTAAATTATAAATCACAATTAAGTAATGTCATACAATTTATCCAATTATCTTCAGAAAGACTCATTAAAGAAATATTCTGGATAAGAGATTTGAGATCAGAATTATATTAAGGAGAACTCTTATTATATTATTCATCATTATAAGCTTCACCTTCAACTTTACTTTGAAGAGCTTCAGCATTTCCATGCAATAAATCACTATTTTCAATATTAATCTTATAGGATATGTTAGTATTAATATTATATAATATTAAAACTAAAATAAATTTCAATAACTTATCAAAAATCATTTAATTCGATATTTTATATACTTCTTTATACATAAAATATTTTGTAACCAGGGGTTTAATAGAATATCACATACTGAAAGGGTGAGCACACTATACCCATTTGTCAAAATAGGAACTGTCACAGTAGAAAATGCAGTTCAAGTGATTACTAATACCCAATAAATGCCTTCATTGTTTTGTTTAAAAACTATATGATAACAATCATTTACTTATAGGCTTTCTTTTCACTGAACAATATCAGTCACAGCTGTATTACTCTTCAGAGAAGGCAATCTTTCATACCCAAATATATGCCAAATCACAGACCTAATGCTTTAAAGGGTCACATCATGATTATTTTTAATTTTTTGAAAGAGTTATAAAATAATAGTAACTAATTATTCAATATTACAAATATTATATACTCTAATTAAAAGATACATTACTTAATAATATAGATTATAGTTAATAAATATATTAAAAAAATATAAATAATTACTAATAGCTATAAGCAATGTATAATTAAAAAAAAATTAACTGAATTAACCATTTACCATAAAAATGGTTAGTGAATTCATTTGGGCTTATATTAAACATAAAATTCAGAAACATTTCATTCATATAAGACTTAAAAGTCTTCTTAATTATAGCCTGGATAGGGTAAACATGACTTGAAAAGTGGCATTTTGCAACACCAATATATGCATTCTATAAAAAATAAAAATTTAGAATGTTTTCATTATAATCTTTATAAATATTGAGTACTTATGTCCAGGACCTTCTGTGAGAGCTCATTTTCTGTATCAACTTACTGTTTTTTTAATTTACTTTTAATTTCTCATACATCTTCACTCAACCTTTTTATTAAAAAGTACATCTGCTAATTTTGAGTGAAGAGTCTCTTATCAACTTGCCAGTAGTAATGCTCATATATTTTTTGAATCCAATATATTAAAAAAAAAAAAAATTTTTTTAAAAAAAAAGAGTAAGATTATAAGATTGTCATCTAAAAAGATCAAAAAAAAAAGATCTTATATATTATTATAATGATCTTGTAATCAAGATCTTCTTTGTAATTTTTGTAGCAATAATAATCTATTTTAATTGATAGAATATGATCTATATTAAAGAGAATAAAAATAAGAAGGTGATAGTTGTCATGAATGAGATGGCTGTCTTGATTGGGCAACTTGTCTTGATTGAGTAGTTTGTCTTGATTAGGTAGCTTGTCATGATGTAGTTTGTTTACCTTTTATTTGCTTAAATATTTCTTATACACTTCTAATACTTTTAGATAAATCTGAAGAATTACTGTCATATTTTTGAAATTGTTTATAAGATTCAGTTACTAATTTATAATGAGTTTTATTAGTAGGAATAGCAGATGATTGTGAACAAATGTTAGTAAAAATAACAGAAGAAGATGATGATTATAAACAGGTTATATTAATAGAAATATCAGAAGAAGATAGGTTGAAAGAATTATCAGTAAGTAAATTATTGTCAGAAGGTAATAAGTTGAAGGTGTTATAGGTAGATAAATTATTGTCAGAAGGTGATAAGTTATTATTAGTATCATTGTTATCTATTTTCAAAAATTTTCAAAAATGTCTTTACCTTTCAAATGTGAAGTAGTTATATTTATAAATCTATAAAATTAAAAAATAATATAACTTAATCATTATGTAACAAAAAAAAATAAAAAACTTTTTGTCAACATATAGGTAATGATAATTCTTGTATTTAAAAA